GCTTGCTGGACAGACAGGAACAAAAAGCAGATTAAACAGTTTTAAATAATCAAAAAAATATCTAAAATGTAAGCAGGGTGGATTAAGCTTGCTCCAGCGTGTCCCTTCTCCCCCCCCCCCTGCCAAATAATTCACCTTCAACGGATCCTCATTCCCTCCAGAAACAAACAAGCTACCCACGGGGCTAGGGGTAGAATTTTGAAAATGGGGTGGGTTTTGTAATCTCTGAGAAAGCAGGACTCAGACTGGAGAGAGGGGTGCTGGTATGTCACCCTAAAGTAAGTCATTTCTAAGGCAAGTTTTGAAGTTTATTCCGGTGCCTTTCATTGCTCAGACATTGTGATTAAGGTTGTGAGGGTTCCCCTCCTTGAAAATTTAACAAGGTAAATACAATATTAGACGCTTTTGTTAGTTGTTGTTGTTTTAATAATCCGTTGCTTCAAGGAATGCACAAAAATTGTCTGTTTTCCTTATAATATATCATACTTTTAAGATTTCATAACATCGCGGCATTTAAAGAAAATGGTTAATCAGCTTAACTCATACTTGTAATAACTTCAGTACAGGTTAATGATCCCCCACCCCCATCCTTATTAATGGATGTAAGTGAACAAAGCTTCCCTAACAGAACTCCATCAGTATTGGCCTGAACCTTCCTTGGTGTTCTTATCTGGGAACCTTCCTCTGGAAAAAAATATATTTTAGGGTATTCCCCCCCGCACCTTTTACTCATCAGCACTACAACAACTTGCCATGTGCTATTTTAAAGTCACTGGAGATTGGGTTATAGTGAACGTGGTAAAACTTCCATTGGCTAACTTTAGCTTCTCCTGTCTAGTTAACTGGTTCCAGAATTAGAAGGGGGTGGGGGGGGGAGGAAATCTTTCTGTACATTTTCGTCTTCAGATTTTTTTTAACGTAATGAAATTAAAACTTTTGGAGCTCACAGTTGACATTTTGCAGAAAATTGAGTTATCAAGGCAGTAATTATTTCACAGGGAGATAAAACTCTCATAGCCCTAACTGTCAAATAGGCCTTTTCAGATTTTAATTACAAAATAAAATTAGTCTGTTCTTCCTCGGAAGGGTTTGTGAGTGGCTAAACAGAGCTTTCCCCAATACTGGTGGTCGTCAAACTCTGCTAATTAGCAATGCTGAGAAATTCCAGTTAACAAGGACATTCTCTAAGTCTCTGCAGGTTCCCTGCCGTTCGCCTTCATTTCCATAAGAAGATTAAGACTGGAGGGGAACACACTCAAATGCAGATGCAGAAAAGAAGCGTTTTTAACAAGCATCATAATAGTAAGATGCTTGGCTAGTTCTCACCTAATTACTGCAAGTTAAACCTCTATTTGCAGCTAAGGACAAAAAATGGGGCTGCAATCTTCAATCTCCACAAGACTGCTTTAGATTTGTTACTAGTGGGGTCGGTAAAAAAAATAATATGTAGGTATTATTTCTTTTACAGTTAACACGATAGGTTGTATCTTCAGGGCTTTTGTAAGAAATTGGTGGGCAGAGCCGGTGTCAGAACAGTAAACAAATAAAAATCCAAGTAGTTAACATCAATTTTCTTGTTAATACACTCATAACCTAGGAATAAACGTGCCTGTGCTTTACGATCCATCGCCGAGAACATTTGCAGACTATTTGTTTAACGTAAGCACTTTTCATTTCCATAAATTATACCAAAGGCAACGATTTTTAAATCCATTCAGATTAAACCAGCCTTCTCCAGGCCTTCCTTTTAAAATGTCTGTGTTCTTCTATAGAGTGGTGGTGTTGTTGTTATTCTTGTTAATAAATTAAGATTGAGGTACTCCGATTTCATGGTTTTTATATTGTTTAGAGGAATAGCCAGTAACCCGATATATGGAGATACACACACACACACACACACACACACACACAGGAAACTGGGTTTTTTTTCTGAAAGAGCTATCGCTTTTATCTGATTTTCTATAGCACATTATTATGTATATATGCCAGAGATAGTTTATTGCATTGATAAGTAAAACACCGTTAATTAAAATAAAGCTGTAAATACTCATGATAACACAATTGTTAGGTATTTCCATACCTTATTTATATGGTAAATGCAATTAAGAAAGAGCCAAGCCAGCCACTTTAACCTCTTCACTGTGTTATTATGGAGTTCAGGCACAAATATATGCATCTAGTTATGTGTAAAATCACTCCTTGCGTTGCCTCGGCTGAGGATCTCACACACAAAATTACAACCGATTCTGCCTCTATAACTACAGCAGAGAATAAAAATAAGACTGGCTTGTAAAACACCAACCATCAGTGATCAATTTATTAGGATAAACAAACACCACTACCACCCACCCCCACCCCTTTTTTTTCAAACTTAATTATCCATAAGATTTTTTGGAATAATGTTATCAAGTGCAGACCAAAGCATAAACAATAGCAAAGTAAATAGTTGGTGTGCCTTCGGTAGTGTCTGGAGAATCAGAATTCGTTTATATCTTGAATCTCAGCATGTGCACCTATTTTTCTATGGTTTAACCTATCACTCTATGGGCTAGCTGTACGTTTTCGAATTACACACATTAACTCTGATAGGTTATAGTTGCATAATCCATAAAAAAGATGCATTCGTACTGTTGGGTTTTATTTATTATTTAGATTACATATAATTATTTGGTTCCGGGTTTTTTTTTCTTTCCTTTCCCTTTATTATTTCAAAACATTTCCTTTTAAAAGTAAAAGGAGGGACATTCTCCGGGAGGTAAATCTACCAGTAGGGGGCGCAGCAGCCCCATCTCTGAAACCCCCAGCTCAGAAAGTACAGGGCAGCCTCTCGCTATGTCTCATCTCCTTTTGTGTGTGTGTGTTTCCAAGTCATTCTTTCAGCATTTGGTTTAATCCGATGAACAGTTTAAATATAGAAGATTTTACAATATGTGAGTCTCTCTAAAGAGTCAAATACAATTACTAGTATGGGGGGGAGCTCGCCCCCCTTTTTCTTTCCTACCCTCAGCCCTCCGCTCGCCCAATGCTTTTCGTTGAAACAAACTTTATTTAATAAGCTGGAGAAGTCTGTTTATGAGCGGGGTGCAGATTTAGCCGCCTGGATTTGGAGAGCCTGGGTTCAGAACGTTCACACGCGCACAGGTACAAAAAAGGCGTGAAGGGGGGAAGTGGGAGCAGAGGGACCGGGGAAAGAAAATCATCTATTTTCCCGAGTTCACAAACGGAACGTGCCTGTCGATACAAATCGCTACATTTGCAGTCGCAGGAAGAAACAGGGGGGATAGGGGTGGGGGGGAAGCCCCTGGTCGTTTAAGCACTTCATAGAACAGAAATGGCATGAGGCTTGTTCTTTTTCTTCTTCTTCTTTTTTTCTTTCTTGCTTTGTAGTCAAGTGCATTTTCGCAACAAAGATCCCAACAAGAGAGTGGAAGTAAACTTAGCCGGGGCTTTGTTTGGCGCCGTGTAGTGACAACAAGAGAAACAAAACTACCTATTTGTAACGGACATGCTGCCATCGCTCTCCAGCATTGAGCTCCCACCTATTGAAATCCTTACATCGGGACAATGGGGGAGAGTCTAAAATTACCCTCCCGAGTCCAAGGCGCAGGCCCCACTCCTCTCCCTGGCCCCCTTTCTCCTACCCACTTCCCCGCAACCCAGCCCCACCTCCACGCTCCCTCCCAGCACCTGGGCCAGGCTGGCCGGGCACTTCCGAGCAGAGCGTGGTGGAGGGGACAAGTCACCGAAAGTACTTTAGATCCGAGAAATAAGGGGAGAGGGGGTCGATCCCCTTCCAGTACAGATCTGGGGGGGTGGGGTTGCTTGTACTTTTTGTTTTTCAGTCTCTCCCTTCTTTGGATGATCCTGCAATTTACGTTGCAGGATACGTTGAAATACCCTTTATTTCACGTGGTTCCCCCCCTTGTTTAAATAACCTTTCGGGGGGGGGCTGAGAGGTTTGAACGTGGGGAGTGGGGGACGGTTTGTGTTGTTTTCCAGGGTTTGAATGGAGAAAGGCCTGAGACCTGGGGAGGGGGGGAGGATACAGCCAAACCCTGGGCCCCAGGAACGCGATCCAACTTCCCTGCCGTTGAGAAACAAAAGAAAGGGCTTCAGACGTGGGATCAGCCTCGCCACCTTCCCCAGGAGTGGGACTGATCGGAATGGAGTCACAAACTGCCTAGCCCCGGCGCTAGGGATGTAATCTGTGCTGCCGAGCGAGCATCCACCTTTGCAACGACTGGGGGTGTGTGTGAGAGAGAGACTCACTAGAGAGATCCGTGTGTTAATCACTGCAGCGGGGGGCTTTGATGTTGGGGGGAGCATCCTAGGGGTGCACAGAGTTTTGGTCGGTTTCTGGAAGGAGCGCGAGATTGGCACCGCTGTATGTGCCCAGCCCGGGCTGCCTCCGTCCAGTTCTCCCTCCCGTGTCCCCTCAGTCCCGAGTAATACCAAGTTTGTGTGTGTGTGTTGTGTTTTTTTTAAATGTAGCAACAATGCTGTTTACCCACTTCCTCCCCAAGGCGTGCGTGACCTGTTGCTGTCAGAGGAGATCCAAAGGCTTCCTAGTGGCTGCCTCGCCTGCCCGTGGACCCGCCTCCCCCCGCAGACCCGTCCCGGCGGCGGCTCCGAGCCCCCGCCCCGTTTCATGCAAAACCAGGGGTAGAGGCTTGTCCTCAGTGGAGGAGCCGGCGCGCGCTGATTGGCCCGGGCAAACACATTTATTCCCTGACAAGCCCCCATCACATGGATGGTTGTCTATTAACTTGTTCAAAAAAGTATCAGGAGTTGTCAAGGCAGAGAGAGAGAGAGAGTGTGTGTGTTTGCAAAAGGGGGGAAAGTAGTTTGCTGGCTCTTTAAGACCGAGGTGGAGAGACAGAAAGAGAAAGAAGGAGAAGAGAGAAAGGAGGAAGAAGTTTTGTTGTTTTTTTAAACCAAGGCTCCAGTAATAATAATAATTATTATTATTATTAATCCATCAGCCAAGAGGAAGAGGAAAACTCTAATCCTGAGCCAAGTGTGTGTTTTTGGGGAGTCCCCCTCCCCCCTTCCACACCCCTCCCTAGGAAGAAACAACAACAAAAAGTCCAGCTTGGGACTTTGTGTGGCTGCTGCTTCTCGCTTCTCTGCCGAAGGCTTGTTCCAGGCAAGAGCCGTTTGAATGTACAACATGATGGAAACCGAGCTGAAGCCTCCCGCCCCCCAGCAAACTTCGGGGGGAGGCACGGGCAACTCCAACTCGGCCGCCAACAACCAGAAGAACAGCCCGGACCGGGTCAAGAGACCCATGAACGCTTTCATGGTGTGGTCCCGGGGCCAGCGGCGGAAGATGGCCCAAGAGAACCCCAAGATGCACAACTCCGAGATCAGCAAGCGGCTCGGGGCGGAGTGGAAACTTTTATCCGAGGCGGAGAAGAGACCTTTCATTGACGAAGCCAAGCGGCTCCGAGCCCTGCATATGAAGGAACACCCGGATTATAAATACCGACCCCGGAGGAAAACCAAGACCCTCATGAAGAAGGATAAGTACACGTTGCCCGGGGGCTTGCTGGCCCCGGGCACCAATACCATGACCACTGGGGTAGGGGTTGGGGCCACCTTGGGAGCTGGGGTGAACCAGAGGATGGACAGTTATGCTCACATGAACGGCTGGACCAACGGAGGCTATGGGATGATGCAAGACCAGCTCGGCTACCCACAGCACCCGGGGTTGAACGCTCACAACGCGGCTCAGATGCAGCCCATGCACCGCTACGACGTGAGCGCCCTGCAGTACAACTCCATGACCAGCTCGCAGACTTATATGAACGGATCGCCCACCTACAGCATGTCTTACTCCCAGCAAGGGACCCCGGGGATGGCCCTGGGATCCATGGGCTCGGTGGTCAAGACGGAGTCCAGCTCGAGTCCCCCTGTAGTCACTTCTTCTTCCCATTCAAGGGCTCCATGCCAAGCTGGGGACCTTCGGGACATGATCAGCATGTATCTACCAGGTGCTGAAGTACCAGAACCAGCTGCCCCAAGCAGACTTCATATGTCCCAACACTACCAGAGTGCACCTGTTCCTGGTACAGCCATTAATGGCACACTTCCTCTATCACATATGTAAGACAAAAGGGTTGGGGGGGAGGGGAGGAAAACTACACAAAACGAAGAAACAAACAAAACACTTTTATTAGAGATTCTGGACTTTTTTTTTTTGGACTATTTTTGTACAGAGAAAACTGGGGAGGGCATACATAAAACCAACAAGGAACTTGTATAGCTCTGGAGGGGAAGAAACTACACAAAACTTTTAAAAAGTTCTAGTGAAACGGTAGGAACTTTGCAGAAAGTTTGCAGAAGTCTTTACCAATAATATTTAGAGCTAGTCTCAAAAAGCGACGAGAAAAAAATGTTTTAATATTTGCAAGCAACTTTTGTACAGTATTTATCAAAATAAACATGGCAATCAGAATGTCCATTGTTTAGATAGAAAAAAAAACTTGAGAATTTGCCAATTAATAAAAACAAACAAAACATAAAAATAAAAACAGTCTACTTGGAGCATTGTGATAACTGCAGCTGAATTTATAGCAGCTGGAGAAAGAGTGGATATTATTTTACAAAATTTGGACATTTTAATTGTTTTAGAAATTGTACAAAAGGCAAAAAAGGGTAGGATAAGTACTTGCAAAACCACTGAATTGTTTTGCTATAAAAGGGCAAGAGTTTAGATTGTACTTTTTTTGGTTTTGTTTTTTGTTTTTTACTTATTGTTAAAAAGCAGAAATTGCCATGCAGGTTCACACACCATTTGCTAATTTATAATAGCTTTTTTGTTTCCAAACTTCATCCTGTTCAGATTAAAAAACAAAAAAACAAAAACAAAAAACCCTGAAATTACTGTGTTTTGAAATATTTTCTTATGGTTTGTAATATTTCTGTAAATTTATTGTGATGATATTTTAAGTTCTTTTTTCTCATTTTCCGTAGTTGTATTTTAAAGATTCGGCTCTGTATTATTTGAAATCAGTCTGCCGACAGTCCATGTATATATTTGAACTAATACCATCCTTATAACAGGTACATATTCAACTTAAGTTTTTATTCCATTATGCACAGTTTGAGATAAATAAATTTTCAACATATGGACACTGAAGTTACGTTTGAGTCTTGGATTTATTTTTGTAATGCAAAATGGTTTTTTTTAAGGATCCGTGCAGTTTAAGATGTCACTGTGGTCAATTTAGTATTATAAATAATATAGCAATATAGATAAATGAAAATATAAACCTTTATTTGTAAAATGAAATAGCTTTCATTACATAACTAGGTCTGACCAACTGAACTGCTCCTTTTGGATTTAAAAAATGTGAAGTTGCAACTGACAATGTGTAAATGCCATCCCTTTAAGAAGGGGTAAAAGAACGTTTGGGCACTTTGCTGGTTCAGACCACTTGTTGCCATCAAAGGGCTGTGGTCTGAACAGGAGTCTTGTAATAGATTTAAAGTTAAATGGAAAGTAGTAGCATAATTAGAGGGACTGAAAAGGCAACAAAGAATCGTTGCTCTTTTGATTTATTTTATAACCCGTGCGTTCTTCTTTTGGGAATACAGTATATATAGGAGGAGGGTATTTTCCTTTCATTGTCTGAGGATAATAATACAATAGCAAGAAAACTGCAACTAGAGTTTGTGAGGGTTGCACTGACAAGGGTTTCTTGAATCTTTGTTTGTGGCTTCATCGACTTTCCACTCCTCTATTTTTCCAGGGTAGAATGGGTGTGTGATGTGTGGTGGGGGGGAGGAAAGATTAAAAAACAAACTCATACGCCAAAGACTTTCACGCTATATCACAGCTGTTTCTTGAATCCTATTTCTTAACTTGCCAGCGCGGTGTAGCCCAAATTCGGACAATCTCTGCAGATGATAACAAACCCCAAAGAGAAGCGTTCGCGCCAGCCAAATAGAAGAGCACAGCCATCTCTCTGAGGTAGATTTTTACTTTGTACCGTTCTATTCGCAATTGCAGATGACGATGATTATGCTTCTGAGCTATACAAATCTCTGGCCCCAGTAGTGTGGGGTAATCTATCTGTAGCGCAAAATAGGGTGATAACTTCACGTGTGCAAAGTGCAGTAAAGTTGGGCTGTAGAGCACTGGGCATGTTATTCAGGGCAGCACATACGTGAAAACTTAAGTCCGTTGTTTTTTTTTAAGCCCAAGCGTTTAATATTAACTAATAACACTGGAGATGACCCTTAGATACGCACAAGTCTACCTCCGGAATAAGAAAGATTAAAATAAAAATAGAGCCAAGAAATGTGGATTCTTTAAACTACAGTGATGCATTAGTAGATGCATTTCCCCCCCTAAGAACGTGTTATGCATTGTGAGGAAAGGGTTTTACGTCTTACCTAAGCAGACAGTGCATTGAACAAGCTATAATTCTATTTGTGTTTGTGTCTCTGTGTGTCAGGTGTTTTTAAAACTATATGTATCGTATTTGAGTGTTGGTTGCTGGATTTCACTTCAGCTCAGAAAAGGGGGTTACCGGGCTGACTGGATTTTATGTGGTAGTGATATATCTTAAATTATTCTGGCCTCCACACCTTTCCCTGCCTGCCCAAATGAAAACTAAAATTGCAGCCTAGAAGATGTGGAGTTTTGATCACTGTTTATGTATTTTAGATCTATTTGCCCCCTTTTCTTATATTTCTTGCACCATGATGTACTTGGTAGGACAGCTATTATTCCAGATTACAAGACTCCCCCCACCCCTTCTTCTTTCTCAATGCAAAGACTAAAAGAATTTACCAGAGTTGCCCAACATTTGTAATGCATCTAGGGATTATTCACGTGTTAACAAGTACATTTCCCCGCTTTCGCTTACACATCTGAATAAAAGAGAACTTTGAATAAAAACCCAATCGATATCGCAATTCATTGAAAAACGCACTGTGAATCTTAGCCAATTAACAACAATACAATATGGGCACTTTTTGAAGTGCTAACAGCAATATTCGAGGGGGGTAGTTTGAAATGTTGTGCTTTTTTTTAAATACACACAGAAGGCGAGGTAATGCAAATAAACAAAAGACACTAAGCCACATATGAATGCTAAGTGAATTCAGCAACTTTTTCTATATTGACAAATTGCTTAAACTTATCTTTTGGTATATGATGTAAAGATTAAAAAAAAAAGTCTGATCTCTCTTTGAATGATTCTGGATATATACAGATAGATAAGTGTATACCAAAAAACCCCGTTTTGTATGTAAAGCTAAATGGGTTTATTTTTAAATTACTACTTAGAAGAATGGCATTGACCATTGCTAATTTCCAGTTCAACACATTAAACAATCACATGATTTGTTTCAACTAAAATATTACCCTAGGCTATCATTTATTCTAGCTGAAATGTGCAGTAGTAGTACCAGTATTTTTTTTACTTTGATTACTAGTCATATTTTGATACTCAGTTGCTCAGTGTATTCACTCACCTCTGAATTTGTATGTGCTCTTTAAAGCACACTTGGTGCTCGGTCAAAGAGTGTTATTGTAATGTTTCACTAACCTTATACAGAGCAGAAATGAACCTAAGGATAAGATTATAGTTTCCCCGGTGATTTTTTTTTCCTTTTTACAACATTTTAAGGAAGGGGGGCTAAAATATTTTGCTGAACTGGAGAAGTAGATTAGCAGGGTTTCTTGCCAAGGCTGGGAAGCTGGTATTACAGACTGTCCCCGGGGGAAATGGCTCACATTAACCACTAAATGAATATTTGACAAGGGCTCATTCGGGGGTATTATTACTACAAACGGGTCCCTACTGGACTTTCTAAGGGTCAAAGAGCAATGGTTCAATTAATTATTTAGACTGTTAGTAGATTTGGTTGTAATAGCTGTACTTATTTCTACAACCGACAAATTCTTACAGTAGGAACCCTCGGGAGAATCTTTCCCATCAGCAATGCCTTGCGATTTAAATACACAAATAGGGAAGGTCCGCCAAGTGGGAAAACGGCTCTTTTTCCATGACATTTCTTGACAGAAAACATATTTTTCTTTAAGGTGCCCATTGCTCTTGTCAGAGAACAAGGGCTGCGTATGATCATCACAATGTATCGCATCACAACATTAATATCTCTTTATGTCTAACATGCAAGAAGAGACCTGTATAGCTATCTTTAGAATAGGATGTAGATAGCTCAGCCATTTAAACACTATATATTATGAAAGAAAGAGGCCCATGGTGATAGGTATGATTAGATACACTTCATTTATTTCACTCCTGATCTAACTCAAATATTAAAATCTAGAGCATGCTGAGCAGCATAGGAGATTTGCAATGATGTATTCAAAATGCTGCAATTTAGACGGCAGGAAATCCGAGTCCTGTGAATTTTTTAAAGCTGACCCAGCCAGCCTTGCCTGACACATTCGTTTCCACATTTTTGTTGCTGTGAGAGATTTTTTTTTAAATTTCATTTGGTTTAATTTCTGCCACAAACATATCCGCAGAAGTAGATACTAAAAAATGTTGAGAGTGAGATTAGGTGACAATAATATATGTTGAATGAATGAGATAAGCTGCAAGGGGGGAGCGGGAAGCAGTAATTACAAACCCAATTCATTCAGCTTTTCAAGACTTTTGTTGTGGGAGCTCCATTGACGGGTTTCGAGCTGCCAGTTTTCTCACATTAAAAAGAACTGATCAACGCCTCAGGGGGACATGCAATACCGCTTAACTGCATAGTGATGGGGTCCTCATTTAGAGCCATTACAACACGAAAATTAAACAGAGCCTTTGTGTGCACCAGGTTTATTTTTCAATTGCTGACAGTTTATAGCTAACTGCTCAGAGATTGAAGTTTGATTGCGGTTTGATCGCCTGCTAGTTAGCACCACAGATATTTTAGTTTTGGTAATTAAAACCAGCTTTTCTGATGATGCCCGGGGAATTTCAAGAGTTGGTCATATTTTGCTTTTGAGGAACCAAGTCCACTTGACAACGAGGTGCAGCACAGAAGTGAGTTGTTGTTTTCAGCCTTTAAAAAAAATGAAATGCTAGAAATTGCATATTTCTCTGTGGTACAGCGAGTCAAAATGCCACGGAAGAAACT